GCCGACAAGCTTGTCAACCTCTAGGAACTTCAGTACACCATCTTTCGCCCGTCAAGGCACAGAAGGTTTCGAAAGTCATACACCAGGATACTTTAGACCCTATAAGCCCTAAACCCCCAACCCCTGAATTCGAAACCCCTAAACAGTGTGCAGGTGATTCTTCATCTCTTTGATAGCATCATATGCCGTAATATACCCCAAACCCCTATTCCAATTATTGAGGCCCCTAGAGTAGCGCAGGTGATTCTACACCTCCACCTCCTCCGCCCCCACAGCGAGGACCAGGACTCTGCACCGGGAGGGTTCAGGTGCCAAGGGCAACTTTAGGCTGAATCATGTTGGCCCGCAGCCGTCCAATAGCCTCCACATAATTCCCCTAAAGCCTAAGGCTCTAAACCCCAAGCCACCCTAAACCCCTAAACCCTTTCGTGACTTTCTGGCAACCCCGAACCTGAAGCCCCAAACCTCCAAATCGGTTTCGCGACTGCGCCGAGCAGTTTACGACCCACCTCAAACTCCTAAGCCCTGAAAACGCCGCAGTCATAAAACCCAAACCCAAACTTCAAAGCCCTAAACCTAGATAAACCCTCAAACTCTAAACCTAAAGCCCCCAACCCTGATGAATCCGTATAGACCCTAAACCTCATCCGCTTAATCCCTAAACCTGAAGCCCTAAGCCCCAAACCCTAAACCCCCAAACCCTAAACCCCTAAACCCTAAACCCAAAACTGGCCGACCTGGTGAACTCTTGCTGTAGACCTGTACCCAGAGAGCCCAACTACCCTTAATTAATAAATAATACCTTGAAATAGAGGGTTCCTTAAAGGGATCTATAAAGACTCGCTATAAGGGCTCTATAAGGGAAGTAAGGAATATATCTTAAATCATAATATTAAGGCCCCTATAATTTAAGGTATATTTCTTATTTAAGGGGTCTTGGGCTCTCTGGGTAGCGGTTGAGGTTTGACCTCTTTTGCGAAGCGAAAGTCCCACTGCACTTAAACGAAGAGCTTTGGTATTTAGGGAAGTTTAGGGTTTAGGATTTAGTGGTTTAAGGGTTTAGGGTTTAGGGAAGTTTAGGGTTTAGGGGTCTAAACCGTAGTTGATGCGCAATGAGCCAGTTGTCTGTGCACAGGTACCTTCCTGAACTCCGAGGTTATGTCGGGCCCTCAGGTTTTGGGTTTAGGGGTTACAAGTTTAGGGAAGCTTAGGATAATATAGGATGTCGGGCTTTAGGGTTGTTTAGGGTTGTTTCGGTCTTTGGGGGCTTTAGGGGCTGGGTTTTTGTGGTTCCGGGGCTCAGGGTTTACGGGGTGTGGGCGTTCTGGGCTTTTTAAGGCTAGTTGTTTAGGGCCACGAGCTGTGATGATGCAGGAGGCGTACTCCGAAGCCCCAAACGCCCTTACTGCTGAGCCCTAAACCCTAAACCCCAAACCCTTAAACTCTCGTCAAATTTCGATCCTGAAACCCTTGAGACCCTTAACATCCCTAAACCCCAATAGGGCCCCAAATTCAAACCCTAAGCCGTAAGCCCCAACCCTCACAGGCAGCACTGTCGGGCCTCTTTGGGCTTTAAAATGCATTGGGGGTTTAGGGTCTAGGGTTTAGGGTTTGGGTGAGCATGGCCGCACTCCCATGGAATGTTGCTTAGAGGGTCATGAACTTAGTAGCAAGTAGGTTTATACATACCTCAGTTGGGGCTATAAGCAAGCAGGAGTATACAGCCCTAAACCCAAAGCCCTGGCCCTAAGCCCTAAACCCCTAAACCCTTAGCCCTAAACCCTCGGCCCTAAACCCTACACCCTGAAACGCAAGCTCCCCCGAGCCTTGAAGTATTCGTGCTTTGCGCTTTTGGGCTTCACGTTGTCGGCTTTTGTCCGTCGAGACAAAGAGGGTTATGGGTTCAGGGCTTCGGGTTTCGGAGTTGAGGGTTCGGGGTTTAGGGGCTTTGCGGTTTAGGTGTTTTGGGTTCAGGGCTTTGGGTTTAGGAGTTGAGGGTTCAGGGTTTAGGGGCTTTGCGGTTTAGGTGTTTAGGTTTTGCATGACCGGATGTGACACCGTTTTCCTGGCGTTTTGCAGCGAAGGCAGTAAGCCGTCAAGCGATGGCAAAAGGAACATAAACATGCATGAGTTGACTAAACGCCAACCGCCTTTGCATGTCGACGAGGATCAGTTCAAGGCTTTCTTGCGACATGTGGACGTCTTGATCCACAATTCCAAGCATGAGGGGCAGCTGGCGCACGAGATTCCTCACTGTTCGGCCAAGCTCAACATGAAGAAGACTCGTGTCATCTGCGCGTGGCACTCCATTCCGAGTTGATTGAGGCCGCAGCCCCCGAAGCCCTCAACGGCTGATCCGCAATCCTAAACCTCAAAACCCCCTAAACCCTCTAAACCCCTAAACCCCCTAAACCCTAAACCCCAAAACCCCTAAACTCCTAAACCTCAAGTCTTGAACCCTCAACTCCAAGCATCATCTTGCTAACGACACCCGAGCGCCCAGGGCCAAAGAGACGCCAACCGTGGAAGTCGCGGTCCCCGTGCTACCCATCGCGAGGCCCTTCCCTGTAGGTTTAGGTTTTATCTAGACCCTTAAATGTAGTACTTTTTTGTTGCATTATATATATATATACACATATATATATATGTGTATATATATATGTGTATATATGTGTATATATATATGTGTGTATGTATACTTAATTAAGAAATAGACTACGGTAACAAAAAAGGGCACTACATTAGTTAAGGGTCTATAGGTAGGTTCCCGATTTCGCCATCATGCCCAGGCCTGGACATGGCTCCCTTTACCTAGGACATTTTCAGGTGGGTAGTTACCATTATAGGAGCCTGTTGCGGGTTTGAGGTGGTAAGGACTTCATGATACCGCATGCCTCCGAATGTTTGAGATCGAGTCAACTGAGACTGAAACATCGAGCTTAAGGCACTACTTGTCAGCTTGGACAGTAGTCAGAAGCAAGCCCTTGTAAAGGCAGGGCACAGCAGCTTCACAGCTTGACTGCTTTGAGTGCGTAAAAATCGGCGTAAGCCCTTGCCATGGTTGCTCCCGTTCTGACTTGACGGAACATTTGACAAGGTTAGGCATGGCTGCCGAACAATTCGAAAACCCAAACCTCATCGTGATGAATGAGGAATTGCAGGTTATGAGTCGCCCAAGCGCTACTACTGGAGCGAGTGCTCAGAGTGAGCCTCAGCCTCCGACCGTGAATGGGGTTCGGAATCCGTTGAGGACTATGAACCTTGATGGGGAGCTTGTCTCTCCGGCTGATGAAAGAAGAGGACCAGTTTCCTTTGGACCATCAGTGGCTACGACGCAGCCTCGTGAGGAGGCTGAGAGGTTCTTGGCTTCTGTAGCTCCTGGTTCTTCAGCTGGAATCCCGGTTCATGGGCAGGCTTCTGGGCAGACAATTGAGTCTGCCAGAAGGGAAGATGCTATACCAGATGTTGGGGGATTTTGTGGAAATGGGGCTGGAGGCCGAGGATCTATGGTGAATACACCCCCACCTCCTCCGAGGTCCGGTGGTACATCTGGGGACTTGGAAGGCTACCAGTCAGCGCAGTCCTTCAGCCCGGGAGACGTGAGGCATCCCCCGTCGGAGACACAGATACCGCAGACGCCATTGTTTGATCCCTCTACGTGGAGGAGACTGCGAGAGTTGCCCAGTGAAGCACCTCATTTGTATTTACATACTGGAGTGCCAATGTCGGCGGGTGGACCACCGTCTACGCACTCGAGTGATATACAAATGGAGGTCCGGAGACAACTGTCGGAAATGATGCTGAGACATGATGTAGAAAGTGAAAGGCTCCGTAGGCAGGTAGAGCTGTTGGCTACCGAGAATCGGGAGCTGAGGGATAGGGTGAATTCCTCTGGAGCTAAAGGGGCTTCCTCCGGGTCTGAGAACATTGGTGGAATCCCTGGACTTGGTTGGTTGGGTAGAGGAATAGGGTCTATTCTTGGGGCTAAGGGTTCTCCAAGTCGAGGTGTGGATTTTGAGCCTCGGAATGCACCTGCACCTCCGCCTCCACCTCCCAGTCATCCGGTGATGGATTTCAACCCGAATTCGCCTCCCTTTCACTCTCAGGGAGTCTCTTCGAGTGGACTTGAGTATCAATCATCGACCGCTCCTCCTGGACTTGAAGGCACCGGCACTACATCTGCTCCACCAGGGACACAGGGCACCGCTGGTGTTGCCCCGGGCAACGTGTTGGATCCGTTGAGTATTGTGTTGACTGGGATGGCTCAGCTTCAGGGTGTGGTTAGTGAACTTGCTACTAGCCCCAAGACCACTGGGAAGGCTGAGGTAATAAAACCAGGTGTTAGCTCCCTCCCAGATCTACCTGAGGCCAGTAGCGAAGCGTGTCTTGAGTTCTCGGACTGGCTACACAATACCAGACCAGCACTTGCAGATGTAAGTGATACGTCGGGTGAGCTGTGGGAGTTGGTAGTCCAGGAAGCAGGAGTATGGTACTCGCAGTACTTGAGAATGACTCCAATAGAGAGGCTTACATTTAGGGCAATTCCGTCCGAGGCCATCCAGGACCCCCGCTGGACTAGAGTGTCGAGGCGTATAGAGACGATGATTATAGCGGCGGCACCGGCCCACGTGAAAGAAGAGCTCAGTGCAGCTCGCGTGTCAGGTTTGTTTCAAGTCACCTGCCGACTCTATGTTATTTATGCACCAGGTGGGCTTTCGGAGAGGGAAATAGGATTGAGGCAAATTCAAGATCCGCAGACGAGCACGTCGATTAAGGAGGTGATCGCGCTGCTACGGAAGTGGCAGCGTTGGTGCGCGAGAATGAGAGATTTGGGTAGCACTTTACCAGACAGCTCCTTGAGGGTTAAGGCCCTTGAGAAGATGACCAAGGCTGTTTTAGCTGCTAATCCAGATATAAGTTTCAGAATCAGTCTAGCCAGGGCTGAGCTAAAAATCGATCTCGTCCCGGATGACGCGAAGGTTGATCATTTGCACGCACAGATGTTGAGCGAGTTGGAGGCCGCCTATCACCGTTCAGCAAAGGAGTCTGATAAGGACAAGGTAAAGGATTCGTCAACAGGCTCACAACCGAAAGTCAGAGGGATTGAGGCTAGTGAGGCCTCCAGCATACCCAAGGCCCCGAAGGCTCCACCGAAGGGACCCCCAAAACCACCAGTAGGAAAGCAACAGGGTTCTGTTGCTTCCTCTCAGCCGTCGAGACCTAAGTGCACTTTCTTCCATGGACCTCAGGGATGTAAAAAGGGAAGTGATTGTACCTTTGAGCATGACTGGAACTCGATACCTTATGCTGAGAGGTCAAGTAGGTGCAAGACTTGCGGCGGAAAGGGTCACAGATCAGCTGAGTGTAAATCGGGTTTGCGGATTGAGGAAAAGGCGAAGCCCAAAGGAGGCCCGAAGAACACTAATAACCCAAGACACCCTCAGGATTCACCTCTTCCTCCTCCTCCCCCTGCGCCTACCAGTAAGGATGCGGTTTTGAAGACAATGTTAGCCGATGCGGCGGCTATACTGCAGCAGTCTGTTCCTGCCCAGGGTGGGAGCGTGCAACAGCCAGTCGGGCAGCCCCCGGTGCCCATCAGCTCTGCTCCAGCCAAGGCTACTAACGCTGGGGGAGCGTCACCTTCCCCGCAGGCAAACTTCGTTACCCCAGGCACACCTGTTACCATTGAGTCCCTGGCGGCGCAGCTTGAAGGACTTAGGTCGATGGCTCAGGGATATGAGGCTAGAGCTTGTATGGTGGACAGTGTCTTGAGGGAAGGGTGTGAAATAAGTAGGGTACTACTCGACACAGGCGCAACTCACGCAGTTGTTCCATTTGAGGAAGGCTTGAAGAAGAAGGGTTTAGAGAAGGTTTCTGTTACATTGGCAGGAGATAGCAAGCAATCATGGTACAGAACTAAGGGTGGTACTTTGGTTGTGCCACCCCAAGAGAGCTCGGTACCAGGCCCTTCGCCGCCTCAGATGATATTGCCTCTGGGTGCTCTTGTGGAGTCGTTGGGTTGTTCAATCTCCTGGAGTAAGCGTAAGGGTCTCAGGGTTACTCATCCGAGACATGGAGTGCTTAACACTGGTGTTGCCTCCAATACGTGCCCTTACTTACAGGAGAGACAGGCGCTTAGTCTGATTGAGGAACTTGAGGAAGCTAAACTTAAGGAACTTGGGGTGCGGGTTCAGACCCTTGAGCTTCAACTGAAGGAGTTGAGCGAACCTGTGAATCCTACGACGGCTCTAAGCAGGTACATTGAGACTGGAAGTAGAGTTGATGCATTGAGGGCGGTGTTTGCCCAGCCTTTTCTGAAAGGGATTCCGGAGGATGTGAAGGTTAGGTTGGCAGAAGAGATTGATTTACAGGGACCAGACAAAGGAAAGCGAATGTTGAAGAGGCTTCCCTTGTCGAGGGCTATGAGAAGATCCCTCCTTTCTTCAAGGAAGTGGATCGTTCAGTTGTGTGATGGGAGAGAGTTTCAGGACGATCCAATTAGGAAGTGGGGAAAGAGCATTGGTTGTGAGGTTCTACAGGTTGATGTTCTTAAGAAAGGTGGAAAGGGATGGGATCTTACCAAGGTTGAGGGTGTTTGGTCAGTCCTACTGTGGGCAGCCGCTACCGGCAGGATTGCATGTATAACATCTTCCGCCCCGCGTAGAACCTGGAATGGAGAGAACGACCAACCCGCAGAAGGAGTCTTAGGTGACAATGAGTCGTGCTGGACCAGACCTGGAGCAGAGAATCGGGTCTGGAGTGAGAACCTCTTGATCGTACAGGATATGTTTCTATGGTCACTGGCCTCCATTGCAAAGGGAAGAGGTATTCCGTTCATCAAGGAGTTTACTTGCGGTGGTGTTGGAGATGGTGGTGTGTGCAACTTCTGGAACTCCCCGACGTGGAAGTCCTTTGAACAATGGTCGGGCGCTAAAAAGGGGATAGTTCCTTCTGATTTGGAGGGAGAAGAAAGGGGAACTTTCTTACAGGTTGGTACAAACTTGGAGTGGAATGGGATGTTTGAACCTAAGGACGGGTGTGCATCTTCGAAGGCTACTCGTTGGAGCTTGAGCTTCAGGAATCGGGTGTGTAGGGCACTAGCTGGAGTGCAGGAAGTGCCTACTGTTGAGGCCCTTGATAGGAAGATTTCCGAGGCACTTGAAAGGAAAAAGGGGACCAACTTCGGAGTTTGTGATGGTGTTGATCGAGCGACCCAACCAATTACTAAGGAAGGATCCTCTCCTGATAACCCTGATGAGGCTACTGAAGTGTTTGCGGCTGCAATGAACGCCAGGGATAAAGATTTCTCCCCCGAGGAGTTGGAGGGTTGGAAGGCCCATATTGCCCGAGGACACCTGCCTTATAGGAGGGACTGCCTTCATTGTGTGCGGGGTTCCGGTTTAGGAATTCAGCATAAGACAGTGAAGTATCCCGCGTCATTTGCCCTTAGTGTTGATCTCTTTGGACCTATGAGCTCTGAGGAAAAGGGGCAAGATGAGGAGGCAGTTTCTGGAATTCCCCAAGTGAGATACGGCTTAGTTGGGGCCTTCAGGATTCCTAGAGAAGTTTTGTTGAAGTCGATTGATGAAAAGGATGATCGGGTTCATGAAGAGGGTTTAAAGGAACAACCAGAATTAGACCCGGACCCTGAGGGCCTTGGAGAGTATGAACCATCTGCTTATGACTCAGATGAACGACCGGATGTTGCACTGTTTGATGATGAATTCGATTTGTTCGAGGGTTCAATTGAGGGCGCAAGAGCCTTGGCTTTAGAGGCTGAGGATGTGGACCCTGGGTTGTCTAAGGGATTGTGGGAGTCCGAGGGGTTACCTAGTACTGAGGAAGAGTTGAAGGAGTACTTGAAGGGCATTGTAGTTCCTGCTGACCAGGTTGTCTTGAGGTACTTTATAGCCCTGAAGTCAAAGACTGGAGCTGAAGTGATGTCTGGTCTTCAAAGAATGATCCTTGGAATTATGAAGGACTATCCAGTCAGGGTTTTGCATTGCGACCCAGGAACGGAGTTCACGTCTGATGCGTTGAAGAGATGGTTATTTGGACAGGCCATTAGGTTGCAAAACCCGTTGCCTACCGATAAACAGGCGAATGGTCTGGCTGAAAGGACGATAGGGTGGTGTAAGGCAAGGGCGCGTACCCTGATTGGAGCTGCCTCGCTCCCTGTGCAATTCTGGCCATTGGCTATGAGGTATGCGTGTGAGGTATACAATCGGGCCGAACGAAGAGAGCCAGCGCTCCCAGGTTTTGGGCAGGAGGTTCTACACAAGCCAAAAAGACCACCTGCCACTTCGAAAGAGCTTATGAGGAGATGGATTGTGACGAGGTACCTTGCGCCGCACCTTACTGTTCCAGAGGGACACGTTTTGCTTACCGAGCATAATACCCTTGTGGCCTCGAAAGGATTTAAGAAAGGGTTAGTTGATCCTGAAGCCCTAAGTGAGGCTAAACCCCCAATTCTACAGGAACTTGAGGATCCTGCAGACTCTGGTGAACCTATTTTTGAGGACGAGCCAGTTCTTCCACTGAAGAGACTTAGGGAGAAAACTTCAGTTAGGGCGGTTCGTCTTAGGGATAATCATTTTGAGGATCCAGAGGCACACGCCAGGATGTTGCTTCAGGAGGAGGACTTTACTGGGCAAGCCTTGCGGGGTTTGGCCGACACCTTGTGTAAGTGTGAGGAAGGGACCGGGAAAGACCGAAGAGGTTCTTCAGAAGGTAGATTTGTATTTGGAGCTTATTGTCATGGTGGCTTGAGAGGGATTACAAGTTTAACCACGCGTAGACCCTGGACAACGAAGTATCTGAATACTTACATGAAGCGAGCGAATGTTGAGTCTCCAGACATTGTGTGGTCTTCAATAATGCTGATGACAGCTACAGAGGTCGAACCACACAAGGATTTTAGGAATGAGTGGGGATCGAGAAATTTGGTGGTTTGTGTTCCAGGAAACTTTGAGCTTTCTGTTCGTAGTTTTGAGGAGGAGTCGTTGAAGATCTCGGTGCTGGGGGCACAGGCAGTGAGCTTTGATCCTCGGAATATTCATAGTGTGACTCAAGGGTCGACCTGGTTCCTGGCTGCCTATACTCCACTTGGATCAAAGAAAATTGATCCTGAGAAGAAGGAATTCCTCGAGGCCCATGGGTTCGGTTTTGGTTTCGAGGAGATGCCAAGGGTCTTCGCTGTAGCGCCAGAGGATCCTGAAGAACCCGGACAAGGAAGCAACGACATATGTGTCGGAGTTGCTGAGCCTAGTCAAGTTGGCAACTTAGCCGATGATGAACAACCAGACAGTGTTACGGCGTTTATTGGTTGGGATCCCAACCGGGGTGCTCCTGGAGATGCTCAACCATTGGTTCTTGAAGAGGTTGATTTAGAGGAGTTTCTGAAAGAAAGATGCGTTGATTGTGAACTTGAGAGGCTTGGGATTATTGGCGTTCAAGAAGCTGTCGACCTTCAGTTTCTTTATGTGGAAGATCTTATTGAAGAGGGAATACCCGAGATAAGTGCGCGTAGGATCATGTTTGGAATTCACCCTGAAGGAACTGTTCGTCCAGACGAGCCATCCAACTGCGCATTGAGAACTGGGGAAGTACGTCTTTATGATAGGTCTCAAAGACAAATTCCGTGGGTCATTCAGAACAGAACCCTGGATTATGGATGCCCCCCTCCTCCAGTTCAAGGAATTGGTGTAAATCAGGATTTTGAGCATGTTCCACCGCTGGAACCTCTTATACAATGGGGTGAAGGAGGACCAGTCGACCCGGACGAGCCTCCTAGAGAACAACGTGGGGTTATCACTGAGATCTGCTACGATCTCCCTGAGGAATCTACCGAACCACGGGTAAACCTTGGCTTACCAAGTAGTTCAAATGATCCGCCATGTGGTTCAGATGAGGTTCCAGAATCAGTGAGTCTTGCCAGGTTTCGGTTCAACAATTCGCCAGAAGAGGTTATGAGGTTGCAGTCTATTTGGGATTCCTATGAGTCTATTTGTGAGGCAGCTGGCCAAGGTTCTCAGGCTCAGGAGGAGCAAGGAGTTCTTCAGGTTGGAGAAGTTGATAATATTGGGGAAGAAATTACCGCTGAGATCTCCGATCTTCCGGAGGAATCTACCGAACCACGGGTCATAGAAGATTATAGTTGTAGGATGTTGGCGGTTGGAGCTGGTATTAATGACGTCAGGTCTGGAGTCCAGGATTGTACTAGCCCCAAGGCCACTGGATCCGAAGACAGTGCAGAGATAGTACCTACCATTCGGGTGCCGGTTGGCAATCCGTTGAAAGTACTATCTCAGGAGGAGAAGAGTTTTAAAGAAGGTACCACTGAGGCTGACTGTGTTCCTGGAATTCGGAAGGTTGATGATTCTTTCTATACCCCTAATGTAGAGGGTTTGTTGTCTGAGTTGCAATCAAATCTTCGAGTTGTGCACAATGTATCGCCTTCAGAGGTGAGGCAGTACGTTGATAGGTGGAAGCAGGCTGCTTTGACGGAAGTGACTGCACTCGAGGGTATGAATGCCATTGTGCGTTTGAGAGGTGATGAGGCCCTAAGAGAGTCAAGGGCCCCTGGTGTCCAAATTTTACCAGCGAAAACAGTTTTTACTGTTAAACCAGGCTCTGGCGACAACTACTATCGTAGGAAGTGCAGAGTTGTTGGATGTGGGAACTTTGAGGATAAGAACTCTGGCTTGGATCTCTATGCCGGAGGGATCCCCGCTGACGCCTTGCGAGCGATGCTTATTGAGGCCTCAAAGAGGGGTTACTTGGCATTCATCACAGATGTATGCAACGCATTCCTGTTGGCGCCGATACCAGAAGGTGCTAAGTCGCATATTTTGCTACGTCCACCTCGTATTTTGGAGCAGATGAATATAAAACAACGCCGGATGAGCTTTGGCGTATTGAACGAGCTGTCTACGGACTGAGACAGAGTCCCAAATGGTGGGGCGACTTCCGTGATGCTACCCTAAGGAGTTCATCTTGGGATGGAGTTGCTGGAAAGACACGATTCGTTCAGTCGACAGTCGAAGGTAACGTTTGGAAGATCGTGACCGAGTCAGGAAAGGTGGTCGGATTTATGATTATTTATGTTGACGATATTATGCTACTGAGCAGCAAGGAGGAGGCCGAGAAGGCCTACGCGTGGATCAGGCAGCAGTGGCAGTGTACTCCGTTACAACAAGCTTTGGAAGATCGACCGATTACATTTCTTGGAGTGGACGTGTACATTGGCCAAGACGACCAAGGAAACCAAGGTTTTTTGTTGGGGCAAAGTGGATATATTCAAGAATTGATGAGGTGTTACTCAATCTCTCCAAGGTTGAGGACATCGCCTGTTCCCCGAGAGTGGGTCAGGGAAATGCCAGAGGCAGAAGAATATACGCAGGACGAACTGCGTGCAGCGCAGAAGCTGACCGGGGAGCTGTTATGGGTGGCTCAGAGGTCGAGGGCGGATTTAGCCTATATGGTTGCCTTAATGGGTTCTTGGACAGTTCGAGCTCCTAAACACGTGAGGAAGATTGGCTTGCGACTGCTCGAGTATGTTGGTGCTACGCAGGATCACAAATTATCATTGATCCCTCACAGAGACTGCTACAACGGCATTGTGATATTTTCAGATGCGTCGTTTGCTCCATACGGTAGTCAGTCGGTGACGGGAGTATTAGTGACATATAAAGGAAGGGCTATGTTGTGGAAGGGGAAAAGGCAGAGTTTAATCTCCCTTTCCACGGCGGAGTCGGAGCTAATAGCAGGATGCGAAGGGGTTGTGTTGGGACAAAGTGCAGAAGCCCTCTTAGGTGATTTGACTGATAGCCTGGCCACCAAGAGACTTCGCGTAGATAACCTTGCTGCTATCGTCATCGCGGAGGGCGGTGGCTCTCAACGCACGCGACATTTGCGTGTTAGAGCTAACTTCATTAAGGACCTCATTGATAGGAATGAACTGATTGTGGAACACTGTGCAGGGGACATTCAGCTCGCAGATATCCTTACAAAAGTGCTTCCTGGTGTGAGGCACGAGTACCTTGCGGGACTAATTGGATTGGGCCCACAGGTTTCGAATGCCCAGACCTCCTTTGTAGGGGTTGAAGCTGTTCAGGCCTCTGTAGTTGAAACCGAAGCTATTCAACCTAATCCTGTATCAGTGTATCGGGCGGCGAACGCTTTGGTACTATTGATTCTTCTGCAACAGGTTTTGGAGTGTCGGTCAGAGGATGACGACAGTGAAGAGCAGGAGCCTGTGAATTTTGATTTGTATGTCATGTTGTTGTTGATGACCTTTAGTATTCTGTTCATTTGGGAGTCAGGTAAGTACTGTATTTCTAGGATTTCTAGGAGCTCACAAGGTGATGACCCCCTGGTGAGGATGATAAGAGATGATAGTGAGGATCACCGTTTGAAGCGTGAAAGAAGGCAAGAGGCGGTAAGGCGAGTGATTGAACGGGAGTCTGAAGGGATTAGGAGAAGATTAGGGCATGATGTTGATGAGGGACAGGCGCCGGTTGTTAACGTACAGGTGACCACATCCGTGCCAGCTTCCTCCACCAGTGATCCAATTCCTCCACCTCCACCGCCTTATCCTCCTTCCTCCAGGGAGTCTGGAGGGTCCAGTGGACTTGGACTTGCCTTGTTTGAGGAACGTGGTGCAAGTTCTGTTAGGGGTTACAGCAGTAGCAGTTCTGAAACCCGGAGGGATTGTGCTACGCAAACTGATGGCCCGCAAGGGCTAACATTTGAACAGATGTGTGGGCTTGAGATGATTACTACGACTTCTAAAACGCCTGGTGCCCTACACATCTTCCCCGAGTGCCACGCTCTACGTAATGTTACAAGTACGAACCGTCGCTCAGTTTGTAAGTACTGCATTCAGAGTCTACGGCAAAGGGGAAAAGTGTCTTGAACTTCCATGCCTGAGGCATGATGCGTTCAAAGGAGGAGTGTTGCGGGTTTGAGGTGGTAAGGACTTCATGATACCGCATGCCTCCGAATGTTTGAGATCGAGTCAACTGAGACTGAAGCATCGAGCTTAAGGCACTACTTGTCAGCTTGGACAGTAGTCAGAAGCAAGCCCTTGTAAAGGCAGGGCACAGCAGCTTCACAGCTTGACTGCTTTGAGTGCGTAAAAATCGGCGTAAGCCCTTGCCATGGTTGCTCCCGTTCTGACTTGACGGAACATTTGACAAGGTTAGGCATGGCTGCCGAACAATTCGAAAACCCAAACCTCATCGTGATGAATGAGGAATTGCAGAGCCTTATAGAAGGTCTATATACCTTATAGAAGCCCTATATACCCTAAACTCCCCACCTGTAGTTTCCTGTAACTTTACCATCACCAATCCTAAATTCTATAACCGGAGCTGGTTCAGGTGGAAAGAACTTTAGGTTTGAGGCTTTTGGTGAACCCCGGTATAAACGTTAAGGTTGTGAGTGCGGATTCATTCAGCTACCTGTTGACCCTAAGCCCTAAATCCTAAGAAGCCCTAGGAAATGAGCCCAACCTAGGGTTTAGGGTGTGCGCGGCACGATGTTACCTAGGCTGTCAGGCATTTACTGGCCCTGCAGGACGTGCAAGGTTTCATGGGCCAAAGGGCCTTCTCGGGGGTTTGTAGGGGTTCAAGCTGTCTGAAAGGCATGTATATAGGGTGTAGACTCTGAACCCTAAACCCTTAGCATTAGATGTTGGTTTAAGACTCTGGAGGCCTGGTGGTGTGCAGTGGCGTGCTGCCGTGTGGTGGCTTGTCTGCATTTCCGCAACAACCGTGATGGTTGCGGGTTTGTGGGAATTAGGTTTGGGTGTATCTACCCTCATGTCCATGCCTGCATGGAACCCTAAACTAAAACCTAAACTCCTAAACCCTAAACCCTGAGGGATCCTAATTTAGGGACCTGGCCCACAAATGTGCACGTGTCCATGCACATATCCTTGAGCTTCCCCGACCTTCCAATCTCCTTTGATGAAGGAAGGGATCCCTACTGCAGTTTGGGGTTATAGGGCGTTTAGGGCTTAGGGATCCTACAATATATAGATTAAAGCACCTTCCTTAATTTCAGGGATAGAAACCTAAACCTTAAACCCTATAAAACCCTATAAACCCCTCTAAGCCCTATAAGCCCTGTGAGGCCGGTGCCCAGCTCCCAGCGCTCTGGCAGCCTCGGGCCGAAGACGGGACATCCCGGGCCAGGAGCCTCGGAGACTGCAGGCATTGGCAGCCATTTTCAAGAGCATCCTGTGCTTACCCATAGGCTCCTAAGTAGTTCCTTTTCGGGATTACCTTATAGGATTCTAAATATAAGCCGTAAAAGGGAACTACTTAGGGGCCTATGGGTGAAGGTTCCCTAAACCCTTATATATAAGCCCTAAAACGTAACATTAAACTCTAAAGCATGACATGTCTTAGATAGCTCTGATCCAGCTAGTGGTCCATCAGGCCTTAAGGTTGTCAGCCGCCGGGTGCGTGGAAACGGCACAAGAGCCCCTGAAACAGGGGCGCGCAATACGTCCAACTCTACGATTCAGTCGTCAAGAAGAGGGTTCGTAGTGTAAGAGACATCAGCCGGGATCCCGTACTTTCGGGAAAGTTCTTGCTAGAGCGCCCGCCAATAAGATCGAGACCAAATACACCTAAAACCAGGCCGCGAAACCCTAAACCAGCCCAGGAGATCCCCCCTTAACAATTAGAATAGGGTTTTGGGCTCCGTAATAGTATAGGTAAAAAATGGAACCCTAGGAGTAATGTAGGCCAAAATAAACCCTAAACCCCAAAGCCCCTAAACCCTAAGGCCCCTCAACCCTAAACCCTACATGAAGGCCCCTGAACCCCCAAACCACCACAGGAGCTTGCAGCACTGCCGGTGACACCTCGACGATTGGTACCACGCCGCTTTCCGGGGCCTGGGCCCTGTGGCAGCTTTGTCTTCTGGCGTCTCAGGGCTTTTAGGGCTTGGGGCTTTTAGGGCTTTTGGGGCTTTGGGTTTTGGGGTAGTGTTTAAGGATGTTTCAGGTGTAGGGTTTAAGGTAAAGGGCCGTTTTAGGGCTCCAAGTTCCGACGGCTAGGGGTCGCCGTTTGGGGGGCCTTGAAGCTTGCGAACCCCGACCCGGGCACAGAGGCTTCATGTTTGCAAAGCAGGTTTCAAGTTGCTTCAGGCTTCCATATGCCAGGGGCCAAAGTATTCTGAGGAGACGTTTTTTCAGTCGCCTCCGGAACCTTCAAACCCTTCCTACACCCCATGCAGATAAGCTTTCACTTATTCCTTCTGTCCCGGGTACAGCATGTAGGGGCCAAGTCCAGCATGTGGTGAGGATCGTGCGTTTCAGGCCCGAAATGCCACTGTAAACTCGACTTGCCCTTCAACAACCCTATGAAAAGCTTAAGTATGCCCCAAGAGCGCCGAGCCATTACACCCGAGTTACCCTTCAGCTTCTTCTTTTTGAGCCTGGGTTTGTAGGGTTTAGAGCTCATAGGGTTTAGGGCCTGTAGGGTTTGGGATTTAAAGTTTAGGCTTTGTAGGGTTTCGGATTTAGGTTTTTGGACTTGCAGGGTTCGGGATTTAGGCCTTAGGGTTTGCATGGTTTGGGATTTAGGCTGTACCGCAATTGCCCATGTGAACGGCAGGTGGCCGTGAACCACACAGCCGCTCGGGTCCCGGAAATGGCGAGGAGTTGGGGTTGGCCTCTGCTTCTAAGGATTCGGATGCACAGTTTCGGACTCTGAGTTTGCTTATACCAAAATTCCCATATCCTCAATTCTTCACTCCTGGCGATGCATGTTAGCATTGTTCCAGTTTAGCAAGGGTTTGAGCCCACATATAATATAGTATAATATAATATTCTTTGTATATATATATATACAGATATATGTATATGAGATGGTTAAGATTGTGGGACAGAGGCTTGTTAATTACTAGTTGTCCATAGGTTTCCCTAGTATAATTATCGTATAGATATCTCGACCGTCATAGTCGAGCTTAGGCTCAGGGTGTAGAGTCAAGGGTTTAGGGTTTAGAGTATAGGGCTTATGCGCTTTAAGGGAATGGGAACTTTGAACGGAACACGATAGAATCCTACTACCGCCTAGCATTCAAGCCCTACATTCTAGTCACGATAGTGCCCGTAGAAGATAAGGGAATGAATGGGAACTTTGAAAGGAACACGATAAAATCCTACTACCAACGTCTAATTAACATTCAAGCCCCACCTATAGTCTCCATTGTAGTTCCTTTTTGGGGGTTACCTTTTTAGGACCCTCTAAATAGAATTGGTTAAACCAAAAGAGGGACTACAGTGGAGACTATAGTCACATTCTAGCCACGATGGTGCCCTCAGAAGAGGTCGGATCGGTAGTTCCCTACAATGGTCTGGTGTGGGATGCGAGCCTTGGACCCACAAAAACCTAAGATTCCTAAGATCCTAAGATTCCTAAAATAGCCTAAGATTCCTCAAAACCTAGGATTCCTAAGATCCCAGGCCATGGTTTTAAGAGCTTAGCTCTCAGCTGAAGCTCTTCTGCTAAGCCTGGAACCAAAAGCCGACACCCTAGACCCTAGCCCTAAAGCCTAAGGCCTTGCACCCCCGACAGCCAAAGGTGATCCGTGACCCTGCTGACGTGCCTGCGACTAAGTCCTTGAGCTCTGATGTGTGTGTGTGTGCGCACTAAGCCAAGAAGAGGTTTGCAGAGGTAGGGTCTTATGAGCCTCGAGGTCTGCAAGGTCCGTGTAGTGTGTGGATGCCCATCGGTAGCACCGAGGTGTGGGACACGGCGGTCCGGTGGGATTTCGGCTCAAGCTGCTCCGGCCACTGCCAGAGACAGAGCAAAATAATCGACCAGCCAGAGTGATGCGGGAAGTGGAGTATGCGAGAAGGAAGAGGGGACACTTGAGAGGCTGGCGGAAGGGCCCAGTTTTGGGTCTGATACCGGTGTGTTGTGTTTGGCCCG